GCCAACGCCTTTTAGAGTTATGTAAATCATCTGGGTTACGTATTATCATGGACGTACTAGAGAGGATGAGTACAATAGAAAGACAATGCGTCTTATCAGGTATGAATCACCGTGCAGCGTCCATCTCTAGTACGTCCATGGTATTATGAATGGACATTTTGCAGACAATAGCGACTACTTTACGTGTTTAAAAGGTCAAGGTGGTAGTAGTGTTGTGGATTATTTGTTATGTAATACCTCAGTTATGAAAGATCTAACAAATTTCCATGTGGGTGATAGAATTGAGTCAGATCACCAACCTTTAATTTTTAGTGTGAAACAAAATCGTAATGCTATAGTAGCTTCGAGCACTGGTAACAAGTGATGATCCAATAATTTATAAAATAGCCTGGGATGAAAAATATAGCGAAAATTTTCACCGTTTTTGGAACGGAGAACGCACTGCTTTCATGTTGGAATCAATTTATGATTTGATGAGTAGCAATAGTTTGGATGAGACAATTACTCGTATTGTTGATCTTTTATATACTGCGCAGCTGAAATGAAACATATGGTCAAAAATGGGAGACCAAGGCAGCATGAAAATTCAACAGTTTTGTATGATCATGATTGTTCCGTTGCAAAAACCATGGCAACTAGAGCACTGAATGAATTTAGACGAACCAGAACATATAATTCGCTCGATAACCTAAGACAGCAAAAAGACAGTTATCGGAAATTATTGACACTAAAGAAAAAACAATTTGAAGAGAGAGAGAAATTTAAACTACTGGAAGCATCCAAACAAACAAATTCAAAAAAAGCCCTTCTTTAAATATTTCTAACGATGAATGGTTTGGTTATTTTCGAAACCTCTTCAGGTATAATGAAGGTGAAATTGATGTGGACCATTTTTACGAAGAGGTTAAACTATTTGTGGACAATTTTAACTTTCAAGAAAGTGACTAGGATTGTAAACATATTAATTGTGACGAACTTGGGAGCGAAATTACACTTGAGGAGTAATTCGTGACATGAAAAGGGGTAAAGCTACGGGGTATGATGGCATACCAGTTGAATTGTTAAAAAATGAATTTACAGTTTTACTAGTTAAATTATTTAACAAGTTATATTCTGCTGGTTACTTTCCGAGTGATTGGGGTTGATTGTACCGCTACACAAAAAGGGTGAAATTTAAAATGTTAATAACTATAGGTAAATTACATTATTATCACTGCTGGGTAAAGTATTTGCTTCTATAATATATACCAGATTGAACAAATGGGTCGAGAGAAATTGCCCTTTGAACGAAAATCAAGCTGGATTTCGCAAGTCTTATAGCACTATCAGGGGGAAATCTTCTCCACGGGGTTCTCCACACTTGCCAGGGGGGAATCTCGTCTCGTCTCTCTATCTCGTCCCCTTGAGGTATGGGATCGGGAAAGTCACTTTAACTTTACAGTCAAATAAGACACACACAACGAAATACGTTTCAGCTCTTGTCTTAGTCGGTCTGTGGAGCACTCTATAAGACACAGCGCCCTGGGGAAAAGTCCCCAAGACTATCGCAATGCTGACCCAAGTCTCTCTCGGACTGGACTCTCAGACTGCATCTATCGTGCTGTGCTCCCCAAGACCAACTCAAACTCTCTTTATTCATTTTCAAAACTCTAACCAATTACAAAGCAGTAAAAAGACTCTAGGGCGTAACCTTCAATCATAAAGCCAATCACACTAAGTACTGAATACGTCATATCTTTTGATTAATCGTTCACTACATTAATAACTATGGAAACCAACTGTCAGAATTAATAGTCAGAATAGCGGCGGTTATCTCGTAATTAGTTCCAAATCACTCAGCCAAGTTCCGTCCAAAAACTCAAATAGGCCTAAACGATGACAGACATAACACAGCAATTCAGCTAATAATCAACTAATTAAGTCGGTTAACAGATACGCAAAAACAAATTCATGACAGCACACTAGATAATATGTTTATATTAGACACCATCATAAATAGATATTTCACTCTTAAGAGCAGACTTTATTGTGTGTTTGTCGATTTTGAAAAAGCGTTCGACCATATTAATTATTATATGTTAATCTTTAAATTGCTAAAAATGGTCTTCGTGGTCGCTTTTTCAAAATTGTACAGTCTATGTATAGCAATAAAAAGTCTCAAGTACGAAGCACAAAAAGGGGTAACGGAAACGTTTAAATGTCTATGTGGGGTTCAACAATGCTCTATTTTGTCACCTCTTCTGTTTGCTTTGTTTATAAACAACCTCGGTGACTATTTGGAACACAGACTTTCAGGTGAATATGTTGGTTTACTTAAATTGTTTTACTTACTATTTGCTGACGATTTAATATTATTTAGTTCGAATGCAGTTGGTTTACAAAGACTGCTGAACGGTTTATCACAG